ATGGATGTATGATCCCGTTGACTTTATCAATAAGGGTAGTGAGGGTCTATTACTATTCCCTGGTGGCGAACATGGGACTACATGGCTGTGTGACCACTATCTACGAGTTATAGACCATTTTCTATTGGTGCACACCGAAAGACCCGAAACTGACATGGTAGTGCGCGACCTTTAATGCCCATGAACCGCTTGCGATTTTCTGCCTACAATTCTGTTTTTAACATTTTTAAAAATAAAGCATACTAAAAATAATATAATTCTACTCCTGCTCAGGGGGTTTGTCAAAATAGAGCCGATAGGTAGGCAGATGAAACCTTACTGTAACTACTAGAGTTAATGCACAAAAATGGGATTTAAAGAAATTCGTGTTCAAGCATAGTTTCTGCCTCTTTGTAGACTGCTGCCGAGAGAGAACCCAAGCCTGAGGAAGCTGGCCATTCGACAGGTACACAGTTGCGGTATAGGCACCCACTTCCATTTTGGCCTGAGTTGCGCTTGTCGTTTAAGTGTGCCCCATAAACATCTTCACTAACGGAGCAGTGAACGACACTTTGACAGCCTTCGTGGGGAGTTTTAAGGAGGACTCCTGACAGAAATCGAAGAAATCCTTGTATAGGCCAAGGGAAGTCCTGCACAATTTCGCGGTTCAGGTTAGTGTTGACCATTCCACCGGTAACCAAACAGTAGATGTCGACGGGTCTATCATTGTCGGTCCCGCAGCGTGCACACAGCTCGCGGACGTAAAGGTTCAATGCCTGTTTGGAGTTGGCATACGACTGTTGAGCAGTCCAATCGCTTTCGGTTGCGGCCAGAATGCTTCCTTTGTCTTGTAGCCTCAAATTTCCTCTTGAAGCAAGAGCAGAACTTACGAATATTAGTCGCGGCCGGGATCCCGAGTTTTTTGATGAGTTTTCGAGCTGCGGAAGTAATAATTTGCAAAGGAAAAAACATCCTAAAAAATTTGTCATCATGTTCGTGTCGAGCGCAGGAAAGCTCTTGGAGGGAGTCCGTTTGGCAGACATTATTCCAGCATTATTAATAAGGACGTCCACGTGAGGTAGGTCTTGCACAAATTTTCTGATGCTCTGGGGGTCCTCAAGGTCTAGCATCTTTACTGTAACTTTCGAATTTCCAGTGTCTGCGATCAACCTTTCGCGAACTGCCTCTGCACGTTTTGTGTCCCTGGAAGTAAAGATGTATCAACATATGAAGACGGTTACCTGCAGGCGAGGAGGAGTGACCAGTGGCGACGAGCTAGCTCACGGGCTGTAGCAAGACCAATACCTGATGTGGCGCCAGTTATGACAGCGTACTTCGGAGTCGCAGACACGCAATCACAAAAATGGACTTTTGGGTGCAGTAGTCGGCGTAGCATGAGGAGAGAGAGTCCAGCGACAGAAGCAAAACCAAGGGATATAAAGGTCCAGCTGACCATGAGCAGCTAAGATGCGCGAAATACTCTTCTTGTCAGGTCTACAAAAGGTGAACAGCGAGTAAGAGGTTAACAATGCGCAGAATCGCAAAATATGAAAAGCTACAGAAAATTGGAGGATCAGTATGCAGAAACCGTTATTTAGATGTCAATAAATACTAATATTAACAAAGTAATAACATAATATTCTGCCTGCTGCGGGTCTGGTTGTGCCAGGATATTGGGGAGAGATGGATTGAGTTACTGCCGTTGAAGGGTCAGACCTGTATTACCCGAATATATGTGCAGCCAGAAGGCGGAATGCACATATACATGTATTTCATGGGACGGCGACACTGCCTTTGTCAAAGACAAACTCGTATGACTACGCAGTTTTAGGTCCTTAGTGGCTCGGGTAAACTATTTTATTGCAGAAACGAGCCAGACACCTAGCATGCGGGTTGGCCAGCGAGACATGGGAACCAGCGACGTAATAAGTTTTTTTTTCGATTGCATGCAGAGCAGATATTCGTTTAAATTATAAATGAGCTGCCGACACGAGCGAACTTGCTCGTTTGCGCGTCCATTTTTGTGTACGAACTCAACTGTTGAAAGTCGCAGTTTCACAACTCAATGACACCTGGACGGAAGGGTTGTGCGTTTGTACCATCGAGCGTCGGCAAAATGCAATACACCAAGCAGGTTTGGCTCTGTAAGAAAGTTATTCGATATTTTGACTGAAGAGGATATTCAATAAGATGCATCCGACTGAGAAGGATGACAGTGGGGAAACCTACTTGCATTTAAAGGAAACCGACTACCGTCAGAATGATTACTACGTGTAAGGTACGACAGCAGGTCTAATAAAAGAGCATCCGAGCCGTCCTAGGCGGACGCATAAGTGTATTTATTTGAGCGTCAGGTGAACCCAAGTAATTCAAAATACCTTATGGATCGATTCCAGGTTATTCCCTATCTGTAAAAGTCTTCTTTCTACTAATGTAGCTAAAGCTATGAACGAATATAATCGTTCTGCGTTGAAAAAGGCGACGAAAAAGCGTATTCAAACCCGACAGCACAGCTACCTTCCTGACAAACTGGGACGGACAGCAGGATAGCTCAACCGAAGGCGTCACTCGTCTTTTTTAGAAAAACAGGTTAACAATACCACAAGTTTGTGCCGTACAGATGTATATGCATTTCTGGCCGAGAGCATGAACTTTTGCAAGCAAACTCATAATTTCCTATCAGGGATGTTAAATGTGTTGAACTAAGACCAATTCGAAAGGTATAGGTCCATTTGGCAATGCTCAAAATTTCATCATCTGAAGACATCTGAGTGTCGACAGATTCTTCAGTGAACATGCGCACAAGCGTTCTAAGTGTAACCCACACATAGTCTTTGTGAAAAATTTTTCGTTAAGTTTGGAAAGGCCCTTTGCATGTGTTTACTGTTATTTTTATGTGTTACGCAAAGAGTATGCGGGTTGTGGTATCTGTGGTCTAGAAGCGAAAAAACCGCTTACTAATAAATTTGGTTATGTCCGCGTTGCTCACCATATCTTATTTACTTATCAGAGTGCTGAACAGGTCAGCCATTAAGCTTAAAATAGTCATTATGCGTATACACAGGTAATAGATATATATTGTGTGATTAGTGTGTATTTACCTAGGTAAATATTTAACTTTTCACATGCATGACTTTCATGTTCGTTGACACGGAAGATGTTTAGGCAGATTAGGAACTAAACCGACCGAATCAATATATTTCCGAACGCCATACGGCGTTATATAGTTTCGAAGCTCGTGCTTCAATCAAGTATACTCGATCGTGTTTATAAACACCCACGATCGAAGCCTTTTCGAGTTTAATAGTCAGTCGACTTTAGACCAAACAACGAAAACAATATTCGGCCATAATATTGTTTTATCCCATTTTTGTCCTTCTTGTCCCGGCACAGGGAGGACGCAAATTACATAAGTCTTAGCTTCAGCTCCGGAAGGAAAAAAAGACGTGACGTAAAATGACCTTGGCACCCAAGATTAGCGCCCTCTCTTTTAATAATTAGAACCATGGTTCTAATCATTGCAAGAGTCAGCAAATAGCGCCAAGGTCGTAATAAAAACGAAATCTATCAGATGCGAGGAAGCATTTTGCGCCAAATGTTAATAAATGCTGTTGAGAGTTAGAAAATCAAAAACGAGCTTGTATATTTGATAAATTTCGTGCAAGAGAACAATAATAGTCATAAAATTTTTTGGCAGAGCTAGAGTTATAAATTCAAGTAGCAAAACGCGGTCCCCTAATAGCAATGTTCTAGTACCAAAGGGTAGAATGGTCCGAGGTCGGACCAAAGGATAGAGGCGAATAGGCCCCTATATCGTTTGTTACTAGT